AATCAATTTTCATCTTCATCCGATAGGCCGAAGTGAATTCAATTGCGTTTCAATGCATTAGGCCTTATTTAGAATCCGTAGGCCGAGTTTGGGTTCAAGAAGCAGTGTTAGATTTTTAACAGATGTGGATTAAGGGTCTCTCAGCTTGCTATATTAGGCAAGTACACACTTACTAGCGAACTTTCACTGCCTGATGATGATCATAATTCCAGTGCCTTCAACTCACCTCAAACATCTGCCAGTCGGCAACATGGAGCCACCACAGTCAACTGCACTCCGGGACGCATTCTTGCCGTCCGCCCTGAGGAAGCCCCTATTCCGCTCATCACAGTCGATCCCCTCCTGCCAGCGACCAGCAGTCGTCCCGGCCCTGCGTGTGAGATGGGAGAAGGGGTATTCCACATTCCTGTTATTGGAAAGTACGATCAACCGACGAATATATTATCGCCTGAAAGTATCTTGGTTTCCAGCGGCCCTACTCGAACATCCTTCCTCCGTCAAGTGACATCTACCAGCTCCCAAATGCAACTACACGCTTAACCTTCCATTGTTCCCGAACAGCGGAGGTCGGACATAACGATTTACTATCAGAACGTTGGCGGTATGAACGGCCTCGTGGAAGATTATCATCTGGTCGTCATGGATCACTGTTACGACATTTTAGTTTTGACCGAAACTTGGTCAATTATCGAACCATTTCAAACAATCACCCCTATTCTGTATTTCGTTTCGAACGAAATTCTCATACAAAAAAATATTTTTTTGTATGAGAATTTCTTTCGAAACGAAATACAGAATAGGGGTGTATGTCTTTGGTGCTGGCTACGAAATATTTCGCTGCGATCGAAACACGAATACCAGTAGGAAAACTACTGGGAGAGGCGTCCTTATTGCAGTTAATTCCAAGCTGAAAGCAGAAGTTATCGAGGACGATTCCTGGAACACGGTTGAACAAGTGTGGGTAGCTATTCAACTTGGTGATCGTCAATTGCTTCTCTGTGTAGTGTACATCCCTACAGATCGAACCCATGGCTTAGAACTGAACGCACATTGTCGATCCATCTTGGCTGCTTCAGACAAAGTCCTTCCTATTGTTCTTGGCGATTTTAACCTACCGGACATTGCATGGACTCCAACCCATAGTGGTTTCTTTTGTCCTGATCACGAGCGTTCATATTTCCACGTAGGAACCATCCAGCTCCTGGACAGTTATAGTACCGCAATTCTGTCACAAATCAATGGCCTGTTGAATGAAAACAACCGCACCCTGGATATCTGCTTTGTGAGTGCTCGTGATACCGCTCCTTTCCTCTCCACGGCACCCGAAGCTTAGGTCAAGGAAGTGCATCATCACCCTGCTTTAGTTATCGTGATCGAAAATAAAATTGTCCATGACCGGCACTCCAAACGCTGTGTCATATGACTTCCGTAGAGCTGACAATCGCAGTATCGTCCATGTGCTGTCTAACCTAGATTGGGAGCATCCAACCTAGATAGATCGTGTAGACGTCAACATTGCTGCACAAACCTTTTCTCACGTCTTGGCATATGTCATTGACAGACACGTTTCCAAAAAGATCATCCATATCGACTCTCTCGTGAAATGCTACTATGTCAGACTCAACCACGAGTATAAGCGGTTAAGTCGTCTCTGTTTTCAATGCTATCAAAGAGGATTCAACGGCGGCTAAAATCACACCCGACATCCTTCTGGAACTTCGTAAATGAGCAACGCAGGGAAGTCGGCTTACCCTCTTCCATGATTTTTAATGGTGAAACTGCTGGCAATCAACAAGACATTTGCAACCTGTTCCCAGCCAAATTTGCTAGTGTGTTTGAAGACGAGCAACTCTCCGCTAATATCATTACTTCCGCGGCCAGTAATGTTCCTTTGATCAACCAAACGCTCAGCATGGTCGAAGCCACTACAGATACGATTTCTAGAGCAGCATCTAAACTTAAGACTTCAACTAAGGTTGGACCCGATGGTGTTCCGTCGATTATTCTTAAAAAGAACATCACTTGTCTTTTAGATCCACTGCGCCGCATATTCCAGCTCTCTCTTTCCAGCGGCATCTTTCCGTCTTGCTGGAAGACTGCGGATATGTTTCCTGTTCATAATAAGGGAACCAAACGCGACGTAAACAACTACCGGGGAATCACGTCGCTGAGTGCTGTATCAAAACTTTTTGAATTGGTTGTCATAGCGTCCCTAAATGCGCATTGCAAGCAATATCTAAGCACAGATCAACACGGATTGATAACTGGGCGTTCCACGAAATTGCGATCGCTAAGCTTGATAGGCTAGAGATCGATGGAAATCTTTTCAGATGGTTTCGTTCATACCTCACGGAGCGCCAACTGACAGTAACTTTGGGTACTTGTCGCTCAGCAAGCTTCTGCGCAAAGTCCGGTATACCTCAGGGTAGCCATCTGGGACCTTCCTTTACTTCGACAACGTTCACCATGTTATCACAGGGCCACGATTATCGTTTGCAGACGATCTGAAAGTTCGCCGACTGCTGTTCTCTCCAAAATCAGATTGACATCTTTGCTGACTGGTGTAGTCTAAACCGACTGATGGTCAACCCGAGGGGGGCGACACATCTAAATCTCAATTCTAGATGCTCGAAAAAGCTCACACTAGCGAATCAATCTTCTAAAAATCTTCTTTCATTTCTCGCATCTACTTACACCGCGCATCATCTTTTTACAGGAAAGCTTCAGAATCGCCATCAACCCTCTTTCTATCTACTCAGCGTACGCGCAGCTAGTCACAGCAAACCACAATCTTTCCTGCATCGTAGATAGAGTCGTCCCCCTCGGGTCAACCCAGCTAAGTGTACAGTTATTACTTTCTCACGCAAGAAACAACCGATGTCAACTACAAACTACTATGCACGACTATCGAACGGGTGCATTGCGTAAAAGACATCTATAGGCGTTTTTCTAGCTTCAAAGCTGACATACTCACACCATATATCGTATGTCGTCGACAAAGCATCCAGAACGCTTGGCTTTGTCTTCAAGATTACTAAGAACTTCACAGACATTTACTGCTTGAAATCGCTCTATTGCTCTCTCGTACGATCTACGTTGGAATAAATTGGAAAAAAATGGGGCCGAGCGAATTGAATCTGTTCAACGACGTTTTCTTCGCTTCGCGCTCCGTAAGCTGCCTTGGAGATACCCACTTCGTCTTCCAAGCTACAAGAATCGCTGCCAATTGATCAATATCGAGCCCATACGTATCCGAAGAGATGTTGTCAGAGCCTTAACCGTCGCCGATACTTTGCAAGGAAGAATCGACTGCGAAGCAATTCTACAACAAGTGAACATTAATGTCACTACGCAAACTAATTATAGCTTAGGGAGCGCTATTTACGGCTTGCAGCGAGTGTTCAACCGAGTAGCGTCGATGTTCGATCACCGACAAACCGACATGAATGACCATGGCAAAAACAATAAAATGTCTGACCCAAGCACACCAATGACATCTGGCTCCGAGTTCACGGGAAATTTTTAGCTAAACCATGAGCCCGCATGCAAAAGTTATGAATTGGTTCGTGTCTGATCTATTCTGGACAAATTATTTTTATCTAGATCAGAAAATCTTATGGTTCTGACAGTTCGGATCATGTCAATGTCATGTCGGTTTGTCGGTGGTTTGATTTCCACTTGACACGGAATATGCTTCGCCGAAGATTCTCTGCCTTTTTTGCTGACCGAAGGCGCTTGATGCCCAACAGCTAAGTGTAAAATTTAAGACTTATAAATTTTTAGGAACTGTAGTAACTGTAGTACATGTCGTCTGTATAATCTGTACTTTTTTTTACAACGCATCATTGGGACTATTTCTAGTCTGTTGATGCAAACATAACAAATAAACAAATAAACAATATCTCAACAATTTGTTTCTCTTAAGCAAATCGAGATAAATAAATTTAGAAGTCATCTGCAGTGAAAACATTCCATTTTGTGAAAAAAAAAAATCCACTTGAAATATAGAGGCAAAAGGCGGGTTGTGCTTAGTAGGCCCAAAATTTGATCCAAGCCTTACAAAAAAAATGTATGTTTTGCCCTTTAGAATAATAAATAACTGTTATTAATTTAATAATGAGAAGACTTTAAAATGAAAATGCTTGCCTTCAAATTATTTTTTTTTAATTCAAAATGACACATGTCATTTCAACTGTACAAAGATTTCAAATCGAAAGTTTGTTTTGAAACAAAATTAATTTTAAAATAACCATGCTTTTCATTTGACAGTTAAACAATGCATTTCGAAAGATTCAACTTTTAAAAGTAGCGAGCGGGCAACTTTTGATTTGACAGTTAGCTGACTTTCGTTTTGAAAGCTAACGGCTTTCTACCAAAAAGAACCAACGCAAACTTTTAGTTGGGGAATTCGATGAACCTATCACTTCTTGAAACTAATCCCTTTCGTATTTGTTTCATTCTCTTTTCGCACTTTGCATCTAACACCAATCTCTACATTGATTCAATGATGTACGGAGAGCTCATTCCGATTGCTCGGTGGACCAGCCTCATCCCAGATGACCATGGCAATGCAAGACTTTTTTTTTTTCGTTGAAAGAAGTATCACAACACAAGTAATTGCTATTAGATATTTTTGCAGACAGTGACAGATGGTGGACATGAAGATCCAGTGGAGGTGTTGATTAGCAGTACAGTACGCTGATTTGATTTGTTCGCTTTTGTTTTTATTCTGTTATGTTTTTTACTGTGTAATGTTGTACGTGTTGCCTTTGCAACCTTCTGTATTTATAGCACTCATTCAAGATTCCAACCACATTTCATTCATACCACCAATCATACCACACACAATCTTATACCAGAGACACACTGAAGCAGCAGTCACCTCACCACAGTGAACGACGTACACACAGAAATCAGAAAACTACAGCAGGGATGTTTCTTTTGCCGTTCTTTTCAAACGTCAACCCGAGTGTGCGCCAGTGTTCAATAGATCAGTGCACGAAGATTTGCTGCACTCTTCTCTAACCCGTAAATTTTGACAGTTTTGGGTGGTTTGTTTTGGCTCCCATTCGTTGCCATCTCTTTTACTCAGAGACAAAATGATTGGAATCAAAAAGTGAGGTTAGGGACCGTGCACTGCTCTATGTCAAGTTGATTTTTATTTGTTTGTGTAATCATCTGTTGTTAGGACATTTCCAACATTCTTCCGCTAAGGTAATGTGATTAAATCAGCTGTTACATATAACTATTCACACGCTTGTTCATTCATTCTTTTTCTTTTTATTAAAGCTGTATATCTTTCGTACAGAAAATATATAACTGTACAATAATAATTGATTAGAACTTATCGAGGAGAGTAAATAAATCGTAGTTCACTATAACAATGAACTAACTCACTGACAATGTTCATCGCGCTGGAATCGTTCAATCTAAGATACCTGACTATATCGTATCGTCAATCACTAGGGTTAAGAATATTGCACCTTCAAGTGCCTATCATATAAGTACCGTATTCGATTCCACCGACCTACATGCCTACATTGTCACAATTTTAATACACTTTCTAATATGGGATGCCTTTGCTGCACCCTTCTCGGATGCATCTCGTTTCACTACACTCCATATGAGGATAACACAGTTTTTCACGCAATGAGATTGCTGTTTGTTTGTTTTTTTGTTTTGTCGTTTCACATTGTGGTAACACTGTTCAAACAATATTGACCATCTGCCGTGGGAGGAGTTCACTTTTCCGGTAATTTGATAATCGGTTTCACCGGCTCGTCCCAGTGCAGCTCGCAATGGTCGATGAGAATGTTTTCACTGCGTGAGAATTGCAGCTCCGATCCGGCGTTGGTTGTGGAGTGGTTGATTGGTTTGTTCACCAAAGCGCAGGAGGCCAAGTCGGACGAGCCCAGTAGCCGGCTGAGTTTTTCTGCACTGTCCACCTGGTGTTGAACGAGGAAAAGATGGTAGGGAAAATGGGGGTTACTTTGATTGTGAAATGTCGAATAAATCTAGCTTTTGAAAATTATAACTTACTTTGATTATGTAGATGTCGTTCTCGAAGCAGAACGCCTCCAGAAGAACTTCCTGCATGTGAGCACCACTGTCGTTGTGCTGTGGTGGAACCATGAAGCAGAACTGGTAGTTGTTCGGGTTTTCTGTGAGGCTTCGGATGGCATTGGCCATCCCCACTACGACTCGTGATTCCGCGTGGGCCTTGACCAGTGTCGATCGGACGTTCTGTCCGATTCCAACTGTTTTGAAGCCAGCTTTGCTGGCCATCATGTATGAGTCGCTTGTTTTAGCAATCACCATTTTTGACTGTCCGTAGTATGATCCGTAGTAGAACTTAGCCAGGTTGGACGATTTCGGAACCGGTTGCACCTTAAGATAAGGCGTCGTTTGTTTGCTCTGCACTTCGCTCGAGAGCCCTTCAGTGTAGGATCACTTTTGCACACCTTCTGCTTTCACAGTGCAAACGATTGAGCGACGTTGTGAAATTACCCTCTCTTCAATTGGGGAGCTTCCGTTGACTTGCGTATCGCGTACTTAGTTGTTCACTGGACGACGGTTCCCCACCGAATAATACCGCTTGGTTCACTCGTCGGTTAGTTATACTTATAACTGAGAGCTCCTCCACACACACCCCCAGGTTGGCCCCCTCGCAAGCACGAGGGCGTCGACGTCGCTCCACACGGAGCTTCACGTTAGAACCTGACCGCGCGTTGGAAATTCGCAATATCATCGTGATCGCTAGGGAGAAAGTTCATTCGGCGCCATTCAACCGCGCGGTGTTCATTTGTTTGAACTATGTCGAGAGAGCCGTGCTCTAATCGCTTCATCAAACATTGCGCGCGGAATTGCTCAGATTGCAGGTGAATCCGATAAGCGAACGTCACCTGAATACAAATCACCCATTAACAGCGTGGCGGTGAAAGAATGTGATTACAGCGGTACGGCGGGTGACGACGCTTCGTTTGGTTGGAGGCCAATAATCAAGGGAGGCGTGTGCTACGGTCAAATGCATGATGCAATCCGCAAACTGACCTTTGGTGCGGCAGAGCAAAGAAGCCAACTGCGATCCACAAATCTGCAACATTTGCACGTGATGAGGATGACGATTATTGCATTCCTGGGTGACCCTCCTACGAGAAACAAGTACAAACCCCTATCTAGGTATCTTACACAGCTGAAACAGTTAGCAGTATGTAGTTAGTGCTTCTTCAAACTCGTGACCCAGGCCTGCTTCGCCGCGCAACCGTCCCAATTATAGTCACTATGATTCAGTAGATGCCTGCAAAGAACATGTTTGTTTTGCTTCACGCGCTTGCCCCCCTCCCCACCCTTCCGACGGCGACGACAACGACGCTGCGCAGAGGCCGTTCCTCCCTCACCTTGATTAGATTATGGTGGCGCGAGCGCAAACTACCTTTGTATATATGCCTGCTATAGCTATACCTACATGTACATAAGAACAGACGGCGGACGTCTGCCTGTTGCGCTGTTTGAATAAATAACAAACGGTTGGGAATTCCTCGCCGTTCATCCGATCGGATCAGCTGCGGGGTAGTTTGGTATTTTTGCTTTTCCCTAGGTCGCGTTCTGGGAATTTGTTTACTCGGCACTTGCCTACTGTCGAATGTGAGGATTGAACATTATCTGTTGGCGGTTTCGCTGCACACGGAGGATCTTTCGAAGAAAATTATTTTCAGATTTTGTCCACAAGGGGAAAGTCCCAAACATTCACGGCAAACCGGTTTCCATGATAATGACATGGTAGGGGATGTGCAACTTGAGGTCCTCTTTTCATCAGCAAGGATTTCTCATGCAATCTATTCACAACCCGTGGAACAGGTGACTGAAATCGTTGCATCGAAGAGGTGAAGTGGAAACATTATTTGAGCATGACAGGGTGTCGACTACCTGGAAAAACTGGAAAATCAGGGGAACTCACGGATTTTTTTTTAAATTATGGAGATATTTTTTAATATTCTCTGAAAAAAAATTATTGATCTCGCTAGTCTCATACAATTTCATTACTCGGTGTAGTTTAAGGATTATTGTAAATTAATAAAATCTTCAATAGAATCGTGAGTTTGTGGGTGCTCAAATGAATTATTTTAATGGCTTGATGTGGTATTTATGAAAGTTCAGCGGAAAATTACTTAAACAAAGAGCCTAACCTTCTCTGGCTGCAAATGTTTGGTATAAAAATTACCAACCGGTGGGAACTGACGATTTTAATTCGGCTCACTACTTGACTAGGCTATTGGTCCCAAGCAAATCGATTAACGTACCCAATTCTAGACGAAATTCTAGTACTACACTATGTTTGTTTTGATTCGCTATGAAAAAATGACAGATAAAATGAGGGGTTAGTGGATTTTCATATGTTTCGAAAGGTGCATCAATTAGTTTCGGACCGAAGAGAGTACCAGAGCTGAGCCCAAAAGTTGAGCACGTTTCTTCGGGACCTTCTGGTCTTAGAGTTACCTCTATGGTACTACGGTTTGAACGACTAATTATTCAGACTATCTGCAACCGATCGATCAGCTTCGAGGAGAAGACAGAAGGCTTAGATGGGAGAGCATTCCTCCTCACCGAGGTTAAACAGCTCCTCTCAGATACCACCAACCTGGAGCTCCCTCCGGTGTCCAAGGTTCACTGGTGCGGAGCCAGAGGTTGGAACCACTACCGACTTGACGATGAAGAGGAACTTCAAAGCAGGTACCAATTCACCTACGCTTATGAGATCGGTCGCAGAGCTCCAGAGAACCAGGTATAATAATTACACCATCCGGTACTCCGATGGCTCAGTCTCGTGTGGTGGTGTCGGCATTGGAATCTCGGTCCGTATGCTATCGACTAGCTAATCAATACTCCATCATCTCGGCGGAAGCTGCCGCTGCCTTCATCGCCGCCACTACTCCTTCAAATAAGCCGTTTGTCGTATTCACTGACTCCGCGAGCGTAGTACAAGCCCTCGACTCTGATCTAGCCAAACACCTGTGGATTCAAGCCATCCAAAAATACGCACCCAGAAACATCACCTTTGTCTGTATCGCTGGATACGTTGGCATTCGCGTAAACGAGGAGCGGCCTCCGGAAGAAAAGCGGCACTATGCACTCGGGAGATCCCAGCGGGGGATCTAAAAAAATTGGTTTAAAGCGCTATCTGGAATTCATGGTCAACCTCATGGTCCCAAACGAAAAAAATATGGGGCCTCCCTTAGCTCAGTCGGTAAAGGCACAGCTACAAACCAAGATCATGCTGGAGGTGACTGGGTCCGGTCTAGGAATTTTTCGGGTTGAAAATTTTTCGACTTCCCTGGGAGAGTATGATTGTACTTACCACACAATTATACTAATACAAAAATGGTACAGACATCGAAAGCTCTCAATTAATAACTGTGGAAGTGCATCCAGAACACTACACGGAAATAGAAAACTACCTAATATTAAGTTCAATCTACCCAACTACCTAGTTCCGTGCGGGAAGTTAAAATTGAGTTCTACCCATTGAACCCAAAAATAAGTTCCTGCACCTAAAGTATTGGATGGGTAGTTTTTACCTAACGTTAAAAATAATAAAATTAGGTTAAAAAAACTTAAAATTAGGTAGTTTCCAAAAAAATAGAATACAGGAAATATTGATGACTGCAACTAAAACTAGGCTACCCCAAAAAGTGCGATAAAAATGCAAGTTGTCGCCAAATCGTTTTGGTGTCTTCGGAGCACTTATTGCTTGCATCATAAGGAATAAGTACACTGAAGACACCAAGAAGATTTGACGGAAACTGGCACTTTTACTTAAATTTTTAATAGGGTAAGTGTTCCAGTTTTGGCACAATCCCATAAGCGTAATGGTTCCTATTTTGGCCCTACTTCATACAAATTACACGGGCTAATGCCAAAACTGGTACATATTTTAAGAAGTGCCAAAACTGGCTCACTCACCCTAAATGAAAACGCATACATTTACCCAGTTTGGAATGAAGTGTGCATAAGGGGGAAACAAAATGAAACAAAAACCCGCTGTTAATCTTTTTATTTATCTTTTAGTTATTTTCTTCCACAGGAAGTTTTATTAACATTTTTGTTTATTTTTATTCATTTCGAAACAACTTGCTTATTTTTTGAAATATCAGCTTCTGTCAAAAAGTAAAATACAAAATAGGCAAATGTAAACATATGGACCGAATCCAATAAACAAATAGTCATGTAACAAATTTTATGTTTCTTTTTCTGTTTTAATTTTCATGTTCTTCAAACCTCTTCGCCAAGTTGATGACCGTTTGGCTGCGTCAACTCTCAATCGTTTTGAAAACTCGGAGCGAAATAAGCTCATGTATTTTTCGAAGAAGCACGGGTACGGGAACGCCAAATACTGCAAACATCTTGAAAAATACATCGACGACTTGTGCTGAAGATCCACCACATAAAATCACGTTTCCTTCAAAAAATATGTGGTATGACCCGTGCTTGAACAGATCTCCAATGCATACAATGTGCGGTGGGAGATCTGTTTTACTGGCGTGTATATTCAATACGTTGATGTCAGTATCGTCGGATTCACACTGCAAAATAAAACACTGATTAATAAATCCATCATAAGACAAAGAAAGATAAATAATTTTTTAATATGTTCTGAAGTGACATTATGGGAGTGCCACATTTTAAATGGAATTTGAGAATTCTCCCAGTGGGCACCAGGTTTCACTTCGAAAATTTAAGAGTTTTCCTGGGAGCGCCAGATTTAATATGGAACTTGAAAATTCTCACAGTGAGCACCAGATTTCACTTGGAAAATTTCAAAATTTTCCTGGGAGCGCCACATTTTATATGGAATTTGAAAATTTTCACAATGGGCACCAGATTTCACTTTGAAAATTTCAAAGCACCCTGAAACAACTGCTTCAGAAGGGTGCTTGGGGTATCCGTGACTTCGGAGATGGGGAGCACGTGCCCCCCTTGTCTCCGCCAGTGGAAGTGAATCGAATCAGATTTGTAAAGTTAACATTTTTGTACCTATAAAGTGAATCAAACCTGAAAAGTCTCTAAAAATTCTTGAAAAATAATTGAACGTTTGAATTCGAACTGAAATGTTTGGAATCACTTGCATATGAAGTGAAACACTCATAAAAAATTGCAATCACTTGAATATAAAATGAATCAAGTCTCGGACCTTTGAAATTGCTTGAAAATGAAGAGAATTCGAGCAGAAATATTTGGAATTGCTTGAATATATAGTGAATCAGACTTTGAAAGTTTAGAATATCAGGTAAATCAGACCTACAAAGTTTGAAAGCACGTCAATATAAAGTGAATCAGACCTGAAAAGTTTGGAATCGCTTGAAAGTGAATCGCTTGATTATAAAATGAATCTCTCATAAAAGGTTTGGAATCAGTTAAGGATAGAGTGAATTAGATCTCAAAAGTTTGGAACCGTTTGAATAAAGAAGTGAATCTGGCCTAAAAAGTCTAGAATCACATGGAAATGTAGTAAATCAGACCTGAAAAGTTTGGAATCGCTTGAATATAAAGTGAAACAGACCTTAAAAGTTTGGATTCATTTGAGTATGGGTGCGTCTATTAATTATC